GCCGAAGCCGGGGCCCACGCGGAGAGCGCGGCGGGGCTGCGCGCACGCTGGGGCGCGTGGAGGGGCGCGGAGGGCGACATGAGTCTAGTGGGGGGCTTTCCCCACCACCCGGTGGTGCACCATGAGGGCTATCCGTTCGCCGCCGCTGCCGCCGCTGCCGCCGCCGCCGCCGCCAGCCGCTGCAGCCACGAGGAGAACCCCTACTTCCACGGCTGGCTCATCGGCCACCCGGAGATGTCGCCCCCCGACTACAGCATGGCCCTGTCCTACAGCCCCGAGTATGCCAGCGGCGCCGCTGGCCTGGACCACTCCCATTATGGGGGAGTGCCGCCCGGCGCGGGGCCCCCGGGCCTGGGGGGGCCGCGCCCGGTGAAGCGCCGCGGGACCGCCAACCGCAAGGAGCGGCGCAGGACTCAGAGCATCAACAGCGCCTTCGCCGAGCTGCGTGAGTGCATCCCCAACGTGCCCGCCGACACCAAGCTCTCCAAGATCAAGACGCTGCGCCTGGCCACCAGCTACATCGCCTACCTCATGGACCTGCTGGCCAAGGATGACCAGAACGGCGAAGCGGAGGCCTTCAAGGCGGAGATCAAGAAGACAGACGTGAAAGAGGAGAAGAGGAAGAAGGAGTTGGTCAGTACCTGGGGCGGAAGGCGGTGGGAAGAGGGGAGAACCGGTAGGGTTCTCTCCGGAGATGGCTGCTGCTCTCTTGGTCTTGCTAATTGTGCCCAGAAATAGCCTCGGGCACCCGTTAGTTGCGTAGACCTAGGCGGTAGGTTGTTTGCAACCAGGTCGAGAGGGGAAAAGGAGAGGGGAAGGATGTCAGCCAGAGGAAGAGAAGCTTTTCTTCAGGGAATGTTTCAGACGCTTCAGGCTTCTAATCGTCTAAGGACGATCGATCGCTTAGGATGGGCCTGCTAAACTATTGGTCCAGACCCATCTTCCCAAGTGGGTCATACCGGCCCGGAACTCCCTCATTATGCATTCGTTAGAGGCTTCATTGGCCTCGGATCCCACCTTGATTTCCATTTTGTTTTCATGTAAGTTAGCCCTAAATCCCCTATTCCAAGTATTTCACTGTTGTTCATATTTTCCCCTCCAAAAAAGAAGGTTGCCAACGACTCTAAGGTTTTCTGGTTGCTCTAATTACTAGGAGACATAAAACATGCAGGTAAATATTGTCTTTAATTTCAAAGTACAGCCTAGGTTTCGCTTCGGCTATGTCATTAAAAATGTGATTTCTCACATGCGTACACTCCACAGATAACAGTGGTTGTATTTGAAGGAGAGTATGCATTTTAAGACCAAAAAAGAGTCCAGCTTATTGTGGTCATTGTTCTTAACAATGTTCTAGTGAACCAGGCAAAAATACGGTTACAAAAATATATTGTCAGGCTTCTACCAAGTGACCATAGGGGAGTGGTGTTTGGGCCAGGACTATGGACATGAAGGGCCTGAAAAATGATTCCATTTGTCTCCCAGATTTTCTCCTTTGGGGCCTTCAGTCCTTTGACTGCTTTATAATCGAGTGACCTCGCAAATAAGCAAAGATTTCAGAGGCCTCAGGCTGCCGGGCGGTGCTACTGAGCTGGAGGCCGACTAGGGAGCCCAGGGTAGAGAGGCCCACGCCAATGCTGTGGGGCCTTCGCCCCATTTTTCCTAGAACAGGAATCTGCGATTGCTATTGAAAACAGAAGGCAGAGTTAGCACCGACCCCCACTGCCTCCCCTACATCTGGACTCAGAAAAAGACCCCTGTCTCCTCCATAAACGGCTGCAAAGCAGGCAGTTGTTTATAAACTTGCCGATCTGGTAGTTGAGCCTTGCAGCATGGAGGCCCCGGCAGTAGCTATGGTGTTGCAAACCTGCAGCACCTCGCTGCAAAGTCCGCAACTGAAAAATTACATCCCACCCCCCCACCCCACCCCCCACCTTTCAGCCTTTCCTCCCTTGTACTGTAACTCAGAGCCTAGGAAGCACCCGAGTGGCCTGAGACCAGCCATTCTCTCTGAATTTCTCTTCTTCGGTTTTTCTCACCCTCTGTCCAGAATGAAATCTTGAAAAGCACAGTGAGTACCAACGACAAGAAAACCAAAGGGCGGACGGGCTGGCCACAGCATGTCTGGGCGCTGGAGCTCAAGCAGTGAAGATTTGGGGAAAAGAAGAGAGAGAATGAGCGAGCCTGGGCCACAGCGCCAGATGAAGACCCAGAACTCTTGGCAAACCCTCAGGCTCTGCTGGAGGACTTCTTGCAGTTGGCTCATCCCGTTTATTTATGTGCAATTTCCTTCCCCATCTCTTTGCCCCCCACACCTTGAGGTATCCGCTCCCGCCTCCCCCCTCCAAAAAAAGTGGATATTTGAAGAAAAGCATTCCATATTTTAATATGAAGAGGACACTACCGCGTGGGTAAGGGATCCCATCGACTAGTAGATTCTGTGTGCGTGAATGTTGCCTCTTGGCTGTGTAGACACCAGCGTTACCCAGCTCCTTCCAGATAAAGGCAGTGGACACTAGTGTATATGTGAAATGTATCTTTAAAACTTGGCCTTTGGGTATAAATATTCCTGGCAATTATAAAGTTTTATTTCAAAGCAGAAAACCGGGCCGCTAGCATTTCAGCTGGGGGTTGATATCTAGTGCTGTCTTTTCCTATGTGGTGGTTCTTTATTCGAAAATGTTTCCAACAGTACTTGTTTTGTGCACTTCCGTCCTCTGAAACTAAGTGGAATTTAATTAATATTGAAGATGTAAACGTTGTAAGTATTCAATAAACCACTGTGTGTTCTTTTTTTTTTACAAAACCCTAATCTTTTAATGGTTGATACCTCAAAAGTTTTGAAAACAAAGCTGTTATACTTGTTTTCATAATATTTAAAATATTCAGAAGTAAACTAAATTATCAGAATTGCTTGTTAACTTTATTTTTTTAAGTGCTTCCTATCCATCCATATGACTGAGGTCCAGGAGCTTGTGGAGGTTGTGTGAAAGAGAAGGGTCTTTAGTGAAAAATCGAGCCTGGGGGCTGGAACTCTGTGGAGTGTTGGAAACCCTTCAGTGGTCCTTAGAAGATGTGTCTGGGTGGGAGAAAGGCTGGGAATTGGCTCTGAAGATGCCAAAGTGTTCTCATTTTCCTGAAGTCAACCAGATGACATGCTTGGGGCAGGGGTTGTGTTTGGGGAATATGTTTTTGGTGAAAGAGGTGTCAGGAGAATCCCAGGCATTGTTACCGGTGTAGGAAATAGTCTTTAGTGTTTAGTAATGTACGTGTGTGTGTGTGTGTGTGTGTGTGTGTGTGTGTGTGGCTTTTATCCAAGGGATGGGGGGAGAGAGGGGAAAGGAAAAAAAGGAAAAGGAGAAATTGCTTGTAGTCTAGATGAGAGGATTCTTCTCTGAGCAGGCTCAGTTTGGGGATGTGGGGGTGCTTTTGAAAAAAAAATGTCTATGATGAGGTAACAAGGAATTTTACGTCAAGTAAGAAATCGCGAACAAGACCACAGATTTAAAGGGAGGCGAGGGGTGGGTTAGATTTACAAGGAGCTGCAGGAACTCAATATTAACCGTGTGCAATGTCTGAAGTCTTCCTGGCCCCAAAGCCCAGTGGAACAAGAGGCACTCTCCGTTGGTTACCAGCTGACCGAAGGGGTCCTCACCCCTTGGGGAGTTCTGGTCTCCTGGAGTCCCATAATATCTAATATCCCGGAAGAAAGTCCCTGTGGCCTCATTTTCCTGCTGAGCTTGAATTTCTGCTCTAGAAACCAGAGAAACTGAAATACCATAAAGAACTGACTACAGGATAGGAGGAGGAGGAGGAGAATGGGGGGGGCGGGAAGGAAGAAGAAGAAGAGGAGGGGAGGATGAATTCGGAAGGGGGTGGAAGAAAGGTGAACCATATTTTAAAAAATAATAAACCGTTTGTTTCATGAAATGCCACGCTTATAAATCTGATATTGAGAGGCTTCCAGAAAGTTTCCATCTTGGAGCCCATCCTCTGCACCTTGTCTACAGTCACAGAGTTTCCTGTGATGTCCCAACAATGCCAACTTTGACCAGTGGCTTGTAGTAGGCCCCAATGAGGCCGGTGTGGGCAAATTTGCAAGTGTCCCCAGGAGAGATGTACCAGTGGCTGTAGGACTTCTGCAGGCATCGGACAACGCAGGGGCCAGGGGTTAGAACAACTTGGCCAAAGCGATCTGAACTTTCTCCCTTCAGGTCAGCCAGCACTGGGCCAACTTGGTGGGCTAGGGGCTGTGTTTACAGACACTTGCCTTTGTTTATAGCACTAGGGAGTGGGGGGAGGCGCACCCTGGTTTTCTGATGCTCTCGAGATCCTTGTCTGATTGATGGAACAGCTCCCTCCTTCTTTTGCTTCTAATCTCCTCCCGGGCCTATATTTTTTATCCCATTAGAAGAAAGACTTCAGCTTCTAGAGGTGAAAGAAAGGAATACTACCAGAGTGATAGAATGAAGGTAATGGAGGCAGCAAAAATTTAACTTGAGCCAGAGAGGAGTCTTCGTCACTATGCCCATGTGATGATGCATTCTTTGGATAGCTGGTCTTCCTGCCCAGGCCTTCCCTGTACTTCTGTGGGTTTAATGCTTTCTCTGGTTGACACAGTACAAGGGAACCAAAGACCCTAGTGCATCACTGCGGTGCAGCAGCCCAGTAATACCCATGCTTTTAAACCAGAGTTCCAGACACTCAGCTTCTTTGTCTTGCTGCGGCCGAGGCATTTCCCAAACTATCTCTTCTGCTAGTGGCTGCTTCCAACAGCATCAGGCTCTAGTGTGTCATGTGCTATGCCACTGGAACTTGCCAGAGGCCCCAGTTGACCAGAAACTCAGCAGTATCCTGTATCTGATCAACTAAAAGCTCCAAATGCTTCCACACCTGAGGCCCAAACCTTCTGTCTAGACACAGTCTAACTGGGTAACACTTTGAGGTCACCAGGATCCCTTGAATTCTCCTGTCCCTCATTCAGCTCCTAGATGCCAACCAGCTCGGTGCTTCCTGCCACCTAGTTGCATGGGTCACTGTTTCCTGTGATCAATGTCCCAGGAAGCAAACTGGGCCGGCATTCCTTCGGTGATTCTATGCTTCGCTCTTCTGCATACACTTCTTTCTCTTTTGATTCCTTTTCTTCCTTTTTTTTTTTTTTAAACTTTCCAACCTCCTACTTACGGGGCTGGCTAAAAAGCCTCTGTTTTAATTGCTTGGATAATGTGGCTGCTGCCATTTTGTTAAGAGCAATCACTCCTGCAGCGAAATCACAAGCGCTCTAGACAGGCCGGAGCCGACAAAAATGTAGGATTTGACGTTAAAAGCTAAATGGGAAGCTGGGGCGGCGGAAGGTAAATTGATGGTAGATCTGGCTGTCAGAGCTCAGCCCCAGACCAACTTGCAGGCCCAAAGCCTGATAACCCTGGAGCATGGGCAGTCCAGAGCTGGGGCTGTGTGTGTGTGTGTGTGTGTGTGTGTGTGTTTTGATTGACCCTTTGCAGCCTGAGAAGAAATCTAAGAAAGTCCATAATGATGTGGACCACAATCCCAACTTAGTGTCAATTTTCCAGGACTTTGGTCCCCAGCTGGGGCACTGACAGCAGCTTTCCTGGTTCTTCACAAGTCCAAGATGACAGCAAGATCTCAAGGGGGAGGGGGCAAGGAGGGGTGCTCTGCTTGGCTTATAAGTCTCTAGTGCCCAGCTACAGGTGGGTCAGCCAGTAGGCTTCAGTGTCCAGCAATAGTAGGACTCCAAGCCTAGATTCAAATGGAGGAGGACACCAGGACCTGTTTCGGGATTGTATGGATGCATCGGTAGAGTGTGGAAAGTAGGCTTCTATGCCACTTGGAAAATGTGTGTGCATGAGTCAGGGGTAAAGGATACTGGGTTTCCTCCCCTTTACCAGTAACTCTGCTCCCTGGCTCCTGCCCCACAGTGAGAATTGCAGAGTTCCTCTGCCATCTTTGTAGTTAGGGCAGAACAGGAGTTGGAAGCACTCGGAATCTCGAGTGGAAGATAAGATTGAGTTCAAATGCAAAGCCCACAGGGAACAGGCCGCCTATGGACTGTCTGAGACTACAGCTTTGCAGAGATAAGTCGAGCCAGTCGCTAAGTCCAGTATGTATGCAAGGAACAGCAAATGGGTCAAAGGATGCCTCCTTTGCCCAACTACATTTGCACGGCGGGCCCACAAAGCGCTAGAGACTTTTCAATTCTTCCCAGAACTTTAAATTCTGGTTCGAAGGTTGACCTCATCACCCACAGTTTTCTCTTTTCCAACCGTCTCCTGGCCTTTCCTGGTGCTCGAGTCCCTCCCATTCACCTGGAAATGGGAAAGGGATCGGCAGCTGGATGTCAAGCAAGGTTGTCTTAGAAGTCGCGAGCCCCAGAGAAGTCTGGATCGGGAGCCTGGGCACTGCCCAGGTGTCCGCAGGGTAGCTCGGTTGACCGGAAACCCATCCCTCTCAGTTGGTCGCGTCCCTACAGCCCGTGTGGATTTCCTTGCAAGGAGGGGGCGCCCACGAGCCTGCCCGACGCGCAGTATTCCGTCTCGTCTCGGATCCAGTTTTGTTGTTGCTGTTGTCGTTTGTTTTGGTTTTTGTAAACCCAGGAGCTATCCTCAGATTGGGGTTCGGATCCCCGCTGGAGACCGCCCCCTCAACAGCTTCAAAAGTTTGGAGATGCAAGGAGTCGCTGCCACAGGAGTGAGGAAACCACTATGCATATCTATTTTTTAAAAAAACCTGTTTAAGAAGGGGGGTGGGAGAGAGGGGTGTTGCTCCAGGAGAGGAAACCAATCTCACGTTTCCGGGGGCCGGACAGCTGTGAACGCCTTACCACCCTCCGCGCGCGGCGGGCGCGCACCTCCTTTCTGCCCAGTTGGAATGAGCCTGTTTGTAACTGCTAAGCTCCTTCGGCCGGCGGGGCTAAAGGAAATCGATAAATGCACCGAAGATCTGACTTAGGTGTACACAGAAGTTATAAACTTCTCTGCCTGTTCTCACCGATCCACGCAGCCCAAGTTAGTTCTTATCCAGCAGTGCGCCCCCACCCCATCCCCAAACGCAACCCCCTACACACACACACACACACACACACACTCCAAATTCTCCCGGCATTTGGGGACGCTTTGATGATCAGATGGTAGGGCCCTGATTACAAATTTATTCTCGGCCGCTCGGTTCTTTATCTCCGCTATTAGGGACATCTGGGAGTGATTAGCGCCGCGCCCGCGCCGGGCCGCGCTTGCCTATCTCGCCACGGCGAGGCCCGGAGCTTCGCTGACGTCAGGGCAGACGGCTCGGAGCCATCGCTGCCCAGCTGGGTGTAATCGGCGGCTGCACCGCCAAGTCCTCGCCCGGCCAGGCCGGCAGCTGGAACGCGCAGTCCGCCCGCGCACAGGAATTCGCGAAAGATGTATTTTTAGCCTGGAAGACCTTTTGGTTTTCCTTGTTTGGGTGAGAAGAGGCCCCGCGGACCTTGCTAATTCCCTCTCCCCACTTTTAAGTTTTCCAACCCAGGCAATTCTTTCTTCCAGGTCCCTGCGCAGAGCCAGGGCGCTTCTCTCCAGTACCCAGGGTGGAGACTTGGGAGACCCTGACCGGGTTGGGGTGACTCTTGAAAGGTCAGGACGCTCTGAGGGCTGCCCTCCCCCACCTCGCTAAATCCTCAAGGCCTTCATCTAAAACGGTGGTGCCTGGCAGAAGGTAGTTACGTAGCATGCGGTAACTCTGGGGTCGCCACATTTGCACCTGCTATTAAAACCTAATGAATCAGGTCAGCTGCCCCCACCCCCACCCCATACCTCGTGCCGACTGGCGGCAGCTTTGTCCTATATTGAGTCGCAGCGTTCGGAGCAAGGACGGGTGGATTGTGCCATTGCTGGCTGGACAGACAGACGTGC